TGCGGCTCTCCTGGGCAGGGCAGGGCGGGGGCTCCTCACGGCTCCTGCTGCGCTCATGTAGCTGCGGCCTGCACCTGGGAGGCTGCTGCACACTGCAGGGCCAGGCCAGGCCCTCCCCAGCTGGCCCCAGAGGAAGGGGTGGGGGGTCTCTGCTGGAAGGGCGCGCTGCACCCTTCTCCCTCCCGTGGCGCTGGAGCGGGGGGCGCCACAGCAGCTAGAGCGGGTGCTGCCAGGTCTGAGGGATGACCACCAGCCCCTCAGTCAGTGAGGGTAGCCCCAGCATGCTCCTGAGGGAAGGCTGCTGAAATCCATGCAAGCTCTTCAGGTGGGGTGGGAGGGCAGCCCGGGTCTCTGCCCTCCTCACGCCATTGCACGTCCCGCTGTAGGACTACATCGCGGTGAAGGAGAAGTATGCCAAGTACCTGCCCCACAGCGCCGGGCGGTACGCGGCCAAGCGCTTCCGCAAGGCCCAGTGCCCCATTGTGGAGCGGCTCACCAACTCCATGATGATGCACGGGCGCAACAATGGCAAGAAGCTGATGACCGTGCGCATCGTCAAGCACGCCTTCGAGATCATCCACCTGCTCACTGGCGAGGTGAGGGTGGTAGGGTAGGCTGAGCCCTGGAGAGAGGAGATGGGAGGGAGGGCAGCCTGTGGGCCTTGGGGTACGGCGTGTCCCTTGCGGCTGTGAGGGGCTGGGTGCCATGGGGCAGGGGATGCTGTGTTGGAAGTGATTATGGCAGTAGGCCGCATAGAGAAAGTACATAGATGGGATGGGTGGACCCTGGAAATGGTGAGTTTTTGGGGTTAGGTCATTGGTGTGCCCCTGAGCTCGGGGCTTGTTATAGGACCTCTTTTCCAGGGTGGCCCAGAGGCTTTTTCCTTCTGACCCATCCTGTACTTCTTTCGGCAGAACCCTCTGCAGGTCTTGGTGAACGCCATCATCAATAGTGGCCCCAGGGAGGACTCGACCCGTATTGGCCGTGCTGGTACTGTCAGGAGACAGGCCGTGGATGTGTCCCCCCTGCGCCGGGTCAACCAGGTATACTGCGCTGCGTCCCAGTACGTGCACGCAGTGGGGCTGGACTGGGCTTTGAGCTTCCTGGGGTGTGTGGCGGGTATCCCACCCCTGCTGCTTCTGGAGCTGATTCTTGTTTCTGCCTCTCCCCAGGCCATCTGGCTGCTGTGCACTGGGGCTCGTGAAGCCGCCTTCCGCAACATCAAGACCATTGCTGAGTGCCTGGCTGATGAGCTCATCAATGCTGCCAAGGTAGGAGCCCTCCCTTTGGGCCAGGCTGCAGGAGCAGTAGTGAGAGCTGAGTTCTCTGCTCAGTGCTGGGGTTGCCCGACCTGGGTGAGGGGAACTGGCTGTGACAGTCAGCTCTGTTGCTTAATGCAGCTGTTCCCGCAGCTTTCTGTTGTGGTGGGTTAGCTTGGGGTGACCCAATCCATGCAGTGACTGTTGTTAGCAGGTGGGACTTCACCAGGCTTCAGTCACCCCACTCCTGTCCAGCAGCTTAAACTAAGACAGCTTCCCTTTAAATGAAATCGGGCTCTGTTGCCCCATTTCCATGGGGCAAGTGGAGGCAGAGGGTTGGGTACTATGAAGCACTCAAGGGTGCCTTTTACTGGGAGCAGAGTAGGGTACCATGAGGCCTGGTACCCCACATGGGATTATGACTAAAGTTGGGAACTGCTGGCCTCTGGTAAAAGCTTCCCTTTACTTGCCTCTGATGTGGCTTTGAGGCTGACTGATAAGTCGCACAGGACCCCTCTCCTCACCCTGCTCCCAGCCCTTGTAGCCCAGCTGGGGGATAGGGTCTCTTTGTTCTCCTCCCTGTCCAAAGTGTCACTGGCTGCCTGGTGGTGGCATGTCCTGCGCTGTCTGCCTGAGCACGCCCTGTTCTCTGCACTCCCAGCATTGGCCCTATCCCTCATCTTGCACTGGGAGTGCCTGAGCCAGATGTAGAGGCTAGTCCCTTAAAAAATTTAGAAAATTAATATTTATCTGCCCCTGGCTGCCTGTCATGTGGCCCTCGATGGCTTGCCAAAACTCAGTAAGCGGCCTTCCACCTGAAATAATTGCCCACCTCTGAGCTAACTGGTGTGTTGGTTGGGAGGCTATATAAGGCTTTGGGGTCCATTTGCGAGATCTGCATGGAGCAGTGTTTTGCCTAGTGGGAGGCTATGGGGCTGGTGTGCAGAATACCTTTGGCAGCTGCTTGGGGCTGGACAGGTCAGGGTTTCACTCTCTCTATCTGCCTCCCAGGGCTCCTCTAACTCCTATGCCATCAAGAAGAAGGATGAGTTGGAACGTGTGGCCAAGTCCAACCGTTAGAGATGCTGCAGTCACTTCAATAAAGTTTGTTCCATTTACAAGCCCTGTGTCTATTCTCTGAGCTGCCAGCTTTCTACTGCCTCTGTACAGGATCATATTGGACTGGCCCTGGTGCTATGTTGCTGTTCTTCCTGCTGGAGATGAGATGGCACCAGAGTGCTGAAAGGGGGGAAGGGCAGTGTGGTGCTGCTCTCTTAACTGCAAGGAGCTAGCTGGGTTGGAGCTGCTCCTGCGTGCTTGCTGCCATTGGCTGGAGATGATGAACCCCATGCTGTAGTACCGAGGCGTTGCCTCTGTCCATGCCTAAACTGTTGCTCCTACTGGGGGCAATGCCTGTTGCTATGAACTGTAGGATGGCCATAAGTGTTCGTGCCAGGACAAACTGCTTCAAAAATGACTGATATGGGGAAAAAGTCGCCCTCATCTAATCAGGTATCAGATTAAGGCACTCTGCTTAACAGTGATGTGGAATTGCTTTATCCTTCCGTATATGGGTTACTTGTCATGCCCTATGTCTGCCATAGGGAGGAGGCAGAGTCCTTCTGCAGCCACGGGATGAGGGATAGAGCAAGTATGCTGGGAAGCAGCCCACTTGAGCTGGTGGACACTCCCCTTTTGTGTAGGATGGGGGGGCCTTGGTGACTGTGCCCCCCCAGTGGCATGGGGTACTGGGAATTTTTTCTGATGGGGGGGAGGGGTCATGCCCCAACCCCAGATTGCTGCCCATCTACACTTCAGTCCTGCCTCTGGGATGCTGTAGTAGCAGTGGGTGGGCAGGGTGGGGGTGTAGCTCCATGGGCTGGGGTCCAGGAGGTACCTGACCAAGGCTGAGTGCTCAGATACCACCCCCAACTCCCCAGTGCTAATCTATGTGAGTTTCAGCACCTGCCCTGGCCAGTGTACTGCCAGGAAGCAGCATTTGCCCTGTGGGATCCCAGCCTGGTGTGGGACCTGTATCTGGCCCCCCAGCTGGTGTCTGGGGGATGCCAGGCACAGACCCTATGGTGGTGGGCCTCAGATCCCATCCACGGCCCACTGCTGCTGGCTGTCAGTATGCCAGTTGGGATGGGTGCTGCAACTTGCAAGGAGTGCCCCTCTGGGTTTGACAGCAGCCAGAGCCAGCAGCTCCAACAGCTGGGCTGGGTGGGGGGCTCGAAGGCCAGGGCATCCCCATGAACTCAAACCCTGGAAGGGGCTTCTAGCAATCACCTCTTCATGAAATCCCAGCCCCCAACCACTTCCCCTGCCACCTGCCCCGCTGTCCAGGCCCATTGTCCATTTTCTGCCATAGCTGAGCACCCCTATTTGCCTCACTGCAGGGGCTGATGGCAGGTGAAGGCCTTTGTTCCCTATCTGCCACAGCTGGCTCCACCCTGTCTGCCCAGCAGAAAAATGTCCTGGGTGGGTGAGGGTCCCCAGTGCCTGCTGTCATGGGCTTGGGGCTCAAGCCCCCAGACTGTGCCCAACCCCTATGACAGCCAGCCAGGGGCTTCCAAGACCCTGGCTGGCTTACAATGCAGGCGGTAGTGCCCCTTGCCACCTAGACTCATTGCATGGAGGCATGAGTTCCCATGCACAGGAGCCACTTATCTGTTTGGTTTTGATAACTCTAAATTTAAGTGCTTTGTGTAAAGTGATTAAATTTACAGCATTACTTACAACTTCCGTCTGCACCCATAATATCTAGCTGTAGTTGCTGTTCCTCTGCCTTTGGGGGGAGATGCTCCATTTCCAGTCACTGGGATGAGCCTTGGAAAGGATTGTTACCAAACCAAGCCAGTTCTACAGCACGACCCCTATCTGGCTAAGCTAAACACCCCCTGGAAGCTGCCTGCGGCCACAGGCCTGGTTTGCTGACCCCATGTTGACACCCTTCTCCTTGTTACATAGCCATTAGTGAGCTCTGGGGGAGGCAGGGGCTTGAGGAGGAGCAAAGCTGTGTCTGCTGGCTGGATGGGTAGGCTTGCCCCTCTTCCACTTTCCACCTAGTTCTCATTCAAGTACCTGCGTGTGCAGAGGGCACAGGGTGGGCCATGTGAAGTGGGTCAGTAGTGATGGGCCAGAGGCTGCCTCAGCATAGGAAACATCTTGCGTCAGGCAGGGCCCATGTTCTCGTGGCATGATGCCAATGTGCCGTGGCTGCAGCGGGGGAATAGGAGAGGGAACTGGAACCTGCCTGCTTCAGCCAGCCCTGCTGTGAGGTGTGAGCTGAAGCTTGGGCTGGGCACAAAACCAGCACAGTGAAATATCCCCTTGAGCTGGGTGTAGCTGAGTGGCCCAGGAAGAGAGCAGGGCTTGCAAGGAGACTGGGTCTCCCCAGAGTTGCCTCCCGACTGCACTGAATCCTGATCTTGGCTGCTCAGGGCCAGTTCGGAGCTCTCTGCTGGGTGCAGTGGGATGGAAGCCAGCCTCTGGTCTTGGTTTCTTCAGGGCTAAATCTGGAGTCCTTGCCTGACTGCAGGGGGATTCGGGCTGGATTCTGACCTCTGTCCGGGGGGTGCAGGCTCTTGGCCACAGAGCACAGGGCTGACTGGCCTGGTTTGGACGTCAGGGGACCCTCAGGGTCACAGTGAGGCCCAGGCTCTGCCTGCTCTGATTCTGGCAGCAGGTGCTGTGTGTGTAGAGGGGAGAGACACAACCTGCCCCCTGCCCTGGGGGAGGAGAGGTGCTGGTCCAGCTGGATGGACCAGTCCGGCAAGAGCAGAATTGCGGGTTGGGGCAGGGGCGCCGAACCATGGCTGCAGAGTAGGCCAGGCCAATCCTGGTGCCCTCCATACTGCCCTCCCAGCTGGGTCAGGCTCTGAGCCCTGTGCCCATCACCCCCACCCCTCATCTCTGGAGGATTAAGTTGACAGAGCCCCCGGGGGCTGCAGTCCCCGTGCTCGCATGGGTCAGGTTATGGATCCAACCTCCTGGCCTTGACATGGTATCCAGGATCCTGTCCCATTCCCACTTCCTGTCTCCCCACCCCTGAAGAACAAGGCTGTTGGAGCAGCTGCCTGCCCCAGCATTGTTCTCCAGCCCATTTCTCCCCTGTCCCACCCCACCCTGGGGTGCTACCATTAGCCCTTCCCCTGGAGGGTTGCCCACACCTAGTTGTGCTATGGTCAAGGCTGTCCCCTCCTTCCAGTGGAGGGGGGCAGCTCTTCCCCCACTGTCAGTGCAGGCCCTGGGGACCCCTCCCACCAGAGGCAGGGAGGCAGAAACCCCAGTATGCCAGTAGGGAACACTGTGTTGCAGCTTGGGGTGAGGGGTTCCTAGGGGCAGCACTCCCTGTAGGTCAGTGCCAGGCCCACTGTGGTACCAAGAGGCCAGGGTGCAGGGTGTAGTCCTGGCAGTCAGTGCTGGCATGGATGTCCCAGAGCTGTGCTAGAAGGCACCGTGCTGCAGACTGGGCTGGGGGAGTGCAATAGGGGGGTGTTCACTGAATGGGGCAAAGGGTTAATGCTGGTGGAGCAAGCTGCTAGTCACATTCCTGGCACGGTGGCTTCAGGCAGGGAATGCGGTGGCACCGGCTTGTCCCTGCAGCCTTGCCCGGGCCCACACGAGGAGGGTGGAGCTGCAGGCGTGACGAAAGGAAACGTTCTCTGCAGGGGACGGATTCCAGGACTGGGGAGTGGCAGGACCGGCTGCACCTGGTGCCAGGTAGAGCAGAGCCGGTGTACGGGACGCAGCTTCCCCAGTGCTCTGGGGAGGACCAAAGGCAAGGGGAAGGGGCCCAGGGCTGGGGACACACGGAGAGCCGGTGTCCCGGCTCTGTCCCCTCCCAGAGCCCGCGGACCACAGCCAGCAAGCAGGTGAGACTGATGGGCCAGTAACTTTGCTGAGGCAGGGGAGCCCCAAGCTGGGAGAGCAGGGGCTGTGGGGCAGGGCTGAGGGCCACTGGCAGAGCTGTGAAGGGGGCAGCCTAGGCCTGGGGTCCTGGGCGCGGGGAGCAGAGGCCAGGCTTGGGTGTGGGCTCTAGCAGCAAGGTGCTGTGGGGACTGTGTCCTCTCTTCCCCCATCCTTCTGGTGGGGAGTGTGGGCACCCAATCGCTCCATGCCGATGCTGCGTGCACAGATGATGGGTCTGTATCGGGGTGACTCTAGAGGAACCAGGCAATGGCTGGTAGCCCCAACCCCCACCCCCATATAATCTGGGGTGCTGGGGGCGTCTCCCAACTGGGATGGTGACGTCAGGCTCCTTAGGTTCCTTATCACTGCTGGGTAAATATTGTTTTTTCTCCTTAGCTTCTCCAGATACGTTGGTGCAGGCCTGGCCCAGCAAGAGCTGGGGGAGAGGGCACTGGGAGGTGCCTGCTATCCCACACTGCCTGCACCCTCCCAGGCTGTAGTGTGTGTGGTGCCTCCACCCCACAAGTCCTATTTCTGCTAGACGTGAAAGAGACAGCCCCGGGCATGGCAGAGGAGAGGCCAGGTGCCATGCAGGCACCAGAGGACCAGGAGCAGCAATGGCCTGACTTGCAGGGGGCTGGAGGGCCTGAGGAGGAACAAGAGGAGGAGGACACACCCCTGGACTGCATCATCTGCTTCACGCCCTACGACCGGCTGTTCAAGGTGCCCAAGGCCCTGGGCTGTGGGCATGCCTTCTGCCTGGAGTGCCTGGCACGCATCAATGTCTCCTCTGAGGAAGTCAATGCTGTGAGCTGCCCCGTGTGCCGGGAGCTCACACGCCTACCCCATCGCAAAGGGCTGCCCGGCCTGCCCACCTGCTACGACCTGCTGGAGCAGCTGCCCTCCGTGCCTGGTGCCCCCAAGGGCTCCATCCGCTTTAGCCGCCGCAAGGGACTGCTCTATATGCTAGGGGGGAATGGAGGCCATGGTGGCAACCAGGGCTGGGCCTGGGGCCGGGCACCGGCACTGCCTAAGCCAGGCAGTACCCTTAACACCATCAGCCTGAGTGTGGATGTAGGGCGTCCTGAGCCCCGGGTCGCGGGACGTAGCCTGCGGAGCCTGAGCATCACCAGCTGGCCCTTCTGCGTGGCCGTAGCCGTGGCCATAGTGGTGACAGTGGGGCTCATAGCCTGCGGTGTCTACATCTTCTTCTGGCTGCCAGGTGTGTACAACATGGCCGTGCCGGGCCCAGGGTTCAGCAACTTCACCTGGATGCTGCCCCCAAGGCCCATGATCAACAGCACACTCACCAACCACACTTTAGTTCCCCCCACCAGGCACTGATGCCTGTGGGCTGGGCTGGGCTGGGATGAAGGCCACTTCCCTGCTGTGCCCAAGCACGGCCACTAGCACCAGCCCCTGGACTGCCCTGTCCCTGCCGTGCCTGGGCTGATGCCTGACAAGAGGAGCAGCAGGACCTGGACATGACTGTGAGTCTGTGACTGTGACATCCCCTGATCACTGCCAGAGAACTGACGTGGGGGGGAAACCACCCCCTGCACCAGCCCCCTCAGACCCCATCTCCTGGGAACATGCATGTGACCCCTCCTCTCCTGTTCCTCTGCTTCGCCCTTCATTAAATGACTTGTTTTTTGCGTGTCGATGATGTTCTGACAGGCTTCGAACTACCCAAGGGGAAAAGAATGACCCTGAGAGCAGAGCAGGGACTAGTGGGGTAGAGAGGGGGGCACTCCTGGTTCCCAGTTCTCCTGCTCACTTCCCAGATCTAGGGATAGAAGCCAGGTGTCCTGGCTCTCAGATCATCCTTCCCATATACCCTGGACCCCACGTCCCAGCCAGATGTAGGGCTAGATCCCAGGAGACCAGGCTCCCAGTCCCACAGGTTTGACCTGCTCTGTCAGCCCCTCTAACCCCCTCTCTCTTGCCTATCGCAAGAGCTGTGATGGGGGAGCTTAGCCTGGCGCCTGTGTAAGATCCCCCCATCCCAGGAAGAAGAGGTCCATTGAGCTGGCTGGGCCGAGTAGGAGCAGCCGTGTCTGGTATGGGAGGCTCTGGTAGCCCTAGGGCCCAGCTCACCTCCACACAGCCCCAGGGCTCAGCCTGCTAATGCTGGCCAGAGCCTGTGCACACTCTGCTCTTAGGGAGATGGCTAGGAAGGGAAGGCTGGGGTTGGCACATGGGCCCAGGGATGTGCAGGACCCCTGGGTTCAGTCCCCAGCTCTGGGAAGGGAGTAGGGTCTGATGAGTTGGAGCAGGGGGTTGAGATCCAGGACTCTTGGGTTCCCTTCCCTGCTCTAGGTGCAGTGGGGAGGGTGGTACAGAGGAGGTTGGCTCAGACTATGTTGTGCAGGGGCTTTTGTCACCCCACAGCTGCAGGCCCCTGGTTCCTGTGGTGGGGACCCTGGCATCTGTTCCCACACTTAGGCACACAGTCCATCTGGGCAGCCATGGTACATCCAGTAGGGGAAGGCAGTGCTGTGTGGCAAGGGATGATATGGAACATCCCTGTCTCCATATCATCCCTTGCCACACAGCACTGCACTGGAAGTACTAGCCGGACCTGAGAGCAGCCCAGAGCCAGCCCCAGCCCGCAGCATTCACACACCTGGCCTGGGGATGGGGAGGAGGTTGTGCAAACTGACTTTTGTGGGGCCATGATGGTGGATGCTGCATAAGCTCCCCGCCCCATCCCAACCATCCCTGCTCCTCTTGTCAGGCATCAGCCCAGGCAGGGCTGTGTTGCAGTGGTTTGCCTCCACAGAGACTTGCAGCTGCAGTGTGATGGGGAGGGATGGGTGAATGGGTGGACTGGTCACATTGTGACCATGGAGGAAAGCAAGGAGAGGACAGGGGGTGCTTGGGGCTATATAGACAGGCAGGAATGGCAAGAAGGCTGGATGTGGTGGTGGGTGACTGGACAGACAGACAACAGGACAGTTGGATGTAGGGAGAAATCTGAGGCAAACACCAAAACAGGAGCTCATGTCTCCTATATACTCCCTCTCAGTTCAGGGTTGTAACATCACCTTGTGTCCTCAGCACACAGGGCTGGCCTGTCCTATCCTGCAGAATCTGTGGCTGCAGGGGGCCTGCAGCCAGGGGGCCATGCCCCGCTCGCCCCCCGCCACCTGCGGCATGTTTAAAGGGCTTGATGCAGGCATGAAACCCCTTCCCAGCCAAGTGGGGGAGGAGTTCCCAGCTCCACTCCCACCCAGGCCCCAGCCCTGGCTCTGGCCCTGGGGAGGGAACCCAGGCATCCCCAGCGTGTGTTGCCCCCACCATGCCCCCCCTGCAGTGCAGCCCATGTGCGCACAGCCCAGCCCCAACTATTTGATTTCAGTGAGTTTATACCGCAATTTTGATTTTTTGATGGATCGGGGGCTCCAAAACTATATCTTGCAGGGGGCCCCCCAAAATTGTGGGCTGGCCCTGTCAGCACATGTGCATGAGATGCAGTACATGTAGTACGTACATGCTGTGTTGGCTCCATGTGTAACACTGTCCATGCAGCATCTGTATGGGGTAGGAGCAGGGTACTATTCCTCCTGTATGTGGCTGTGCCAGCTGTGTGTGTGCAAAGGGCAGATGCCTTGATGCTGTATGTATGGAGTCTGCACAGCAAGGTGGTTGTTTGGGTGTCTATGCATGCATGTATACCTGTGTGTAAATGCATGGGCCTTGTCGTGCACGATGCGCTCACCCCTGGTGGATTTGTGTGCTGGGTCTGTTATGGGGCTGTGTGATGCTGTGCGGGCAGTGTCTGTGTGGGAATGGGGCTGATGCTTGTCTGGGGCAACCATATGGACCATGGTGTTTGAGTTTGTGTGTACCTTGTTGGCATGAGGTGTGCATCTGCCATCAAGGTGCACAATGCCAGTTGTGCTTTTGGGGCAGCACAGACATGGGGTCTCTGCAAGTGTTGGGGAGGGATAGTGGAGTGCATGTAGGAGCAAGCAAGCCACTGAAGTGGCTCCACAACTGGCCTCATTACCTCAGGAACGTTGTGACCTCCCAGGAAATTCAGGGCTCACTGCACCCTGATGCACTGGGCTGTTGGTGCATGAGAGAGACAGCACCTGCTCCATCAGGTGCCACACTAGTGCACAGGTTGGTGTGCCTTATGCCTCAGGTCCTGTCACAGTCCATGTGTTGCACGCAGCCTGTGCTCTTATCATGCTGTTATTGACTTCCAGGTTGGCCAAGCCAATACTCAGCAGAAGACTGATTCCTGGATTTCAGGTGAGTTATCTGAGTAGCAACGGGAACTGCAGGGGGAAGGTCGCCATTCTGCTAGGCCAGGGCATGCACTGAACACAGAGCCTCTGGGGTATGCCCAGGCCTGGTCCATGAGGAAACTTATCCAGGGAGCCCCCATCCTGCTGCTACATCTAGCAGAAGAGGACTGAGGCCAGGTGTATCAGGACAACTTAGGGCCTGCTGCGCTAGCTCCACTGTGGAACTAGCTGTATCCTTCAGGGCCCAATTCACCCACCCCAGGACCTGAGCCTAGTCACTAGTGCAGGGTGTTGGGTGGGGGAAAAGTACCGCAGTGAAGAGGCTACTGTCCATGTAGAGAGTGTGACCCGCCGTCAAGGGGTAGCATGTCCCCTCTGATGGTCCACTCTGATGGACCTGGGTCTTTGCAGCTGTTCCTACTGGTAACGTGGCGTGATTGTCTCCTGTAAGCCAGGGTGTGGATAAGCACCTTAGGTCCAATTGTGCTACACAGGCCAACTATGCATGAGTCACCCGCTTATTCTGCATGTAGTTCCTCCATGGTAGGGGTGAGTAGCTGAGACCAGTGTGATCCAGTTGTCTCTCTCTCTGGGTGGGGCATCACCCTGGCTCTGCGCTCCAGAGCAGAGGTAGGCAAAAGGAACAAGAGTACTTTGCATATGAACAACATGACCGCACATATGAGAATAACCAGATCCAGTTGTTGACTAAAGTGCAACTGTACATATAAGAAACCAGATCTGGTTGTACACAACAGTCTGAAAGTACATGACAGTAACCAGACCGGAATGTGCACTATGACCACACATATACAATAACCAACCCTGGTTCTGGGGTACAGTCCGACTGTACTAACAGGTAACCAGAGCTGGTTGTGCACTACAATTTGATTGTACATACAGATAATCAGAAACAGTTGTGCACTACAGTCTGACTGCACTCAACAGTAATCAGAGTTTGGCGTGTGCTCGTCTGACTGTCCATATGAGCAATCAGAGCCTGTTGTGCACTACAGTCTGAAAAAATGCATTACAGTAACCAGACCCAGGTGTGCAATTCAATTTGATTGTACATGCTGGTAACCAGAGTTGGTTGTGCACTACAGTCTGAAAGTACATAGCAGTAACCAGACCTGCGTGTGCAATACAATTTGATTGTACATACAAATAAGCAGAGTCAGTTGTGCGCTGCAGGCTGACCACATTTCTGAGTATCTAGACCCAGCTGTACCCTACAGCCTGACAGTACATTACAGTAACCATAGCCAGCTGTGAACTACACAGCTGTACAAATGACCAGATCTGGTGGTGTGCTATAGGCTGACTGTACTTACGAATAACCAGACCTGATCGTAGGCTACAATAACACCGTACATACAAAGAGCTAAATCTGGGTGCGCAACACACCTTGATTGCGTGTACCAGTAACTGGATCTGGCTGTTCACAACACAGTGACTGTACGTAGAAGGCAATCAGGTCTGACCGCGTGCTACAGCATGACTGCACACCCAGCACAAGAACACGAGCAACACCGGTGTATGTTCCCTTCTCCATTCACCCCCTGCATCTTGGTTATGAGCAGCTGACCCTGTCCCATCTGATGCTGCCCCTTCCGGCCCCCACCCCCACCAGCTGACAGACACTCAAATGACGCTAAGACAGGGCATACCCCAGACTCTATGGCCCTGGTACCCGCTCCATGGAGAGCCAGTGCTAGCCCCTGGATCCTAGACACTGAGGGGCATGGGGCAGATGGATGGACCGACGGACGGAGACAGCAATATTTTACAAAGATTAGAGATGTGGTTAAAAAAGAAGAGCCCCCCCTGAGCTCTGCCCCTTTCTTGGGCCCTGCCCCCTGCCCTGTCCCCACCCCCTACCCTGGCCCTGGCCCCAGCCATGTGGCAGTCATTTGTAGAGCAGGTGGACACGGCTGCCATCGCAGTTGCTGCGCCCCAGCTTGTCGGCCTGCTCAGAGACAAGGCAGCGCACCAGGGGCAGGCTGGGCTGGTAGAGGGTGGGCACGGTGCCTGACGCATTGGCAAAATGGTTGTCGGCAGCACTGCTGTCCCGGGAGGGGTTGGAGGAGCGGCGCCGTGAGCGCAGCTGCTGGCGGTCATGCAGTTGCTGGCGCAGCTCCGAGACCCGCTCCTCTTTCTGTCAGGGAGAGAAGAGACGGGGTTGAGGTGAGCAAGGGGTATGGGAGGTGTGAGGGGAGGCTCAGAGGCTGCCTTGGGCTCTAACCCCCCTGGCCCCAGCCCCAGCCCTCAATTACTGGTGGGCATGGAGGGGGAAGCCACCCCATGAGGCTCTGACTCCACACCCCAACTTTGCACCCCAGTGTCATAAGGACTTGTACGGGTGGGGGGCACTTCCCACCACCCCATGTGGTCTATCAGCCCTC